AGTTTAATGATTCATTCACTTAAGATTAAATCCTCCCTGAAAATCTAAAACCCTTTCTGTTTAATGTTTTTAGGTTGCTTAACATGCCAATTTAAATTATTTACCAGTTTAAGGGGAGACAAAGCAAAAAATCCATATTAATTTGGATGTATACAGCTTATCCCGAAACAAAAGTTGTTATGTTCATTCAAAATTAACAGTGTTTGGCAATACCAGCTTAAAAAAGTATTTTTCTCCAATAACTTATGGGCTTGTAGACAAATCAGAAAACATCTTGAATTGGCAAATATATGATTTAAGTGTTGTATGTATATGTAGCTTCTCAGAAAGAAAATGGAAATTGGATTAAACTTCACTACTTGCTCCTATCCAGCATGTCTATATATCACCAGAATACAAAGTTTTAATACACTGAAAGAATTGTAAGAGTTTAATGATGTACACTTCATCAATGTTTTACTAAATGTATTTCTATATTCATAAAAAAAGATTCAACACTGACCATGGTGGTCAATTAATATTTTATAAAAGAAGGGGGTTCAGTTCAATACATGGATGAGGCTGCATAGATCATATCACCTCAAAATAGTTTTTTAACTAAATAAAATAAACACATCTTTAAACCTGAAAAACAGTAACAATACATATTTAGAATTGAGCAGTGGTCTGTTATTTGCCTTCCTTTGCTGACATAATTAAAACATAGAAGAGTCTGCTACGTTCATGGAATATGGTTTTGACACTCATGACATGATGCAATTGATATTGTTTGAGATTGCCCGAATTTACACCTTGCATTGTTTATATAATTAAGCATTCAAACTACTGTCAGCATTTAGTTAATCATCTATGAAGGGACTATCACAAATGTTTGTGCTTTCATTTATTCCAAAAATCAAAAGTATAAGAACCTAAGATATAAGCTGGAGACATAAGTACACATGGAAAGGAATCAGGAAAAAATCTCAAAGTTGGACAGAGAGCATGGAATTCAGGGCAACAATTGTCAAGGGACACTTTAAGCAGCTTTAAAATCATCAAAAATGTAAGGCTGGATAATGAACTTTACCAGAAAATAGGAAGTAAAGGGGTGGACTGTTCCCAGCAATCTCAAACACTGACCAGTAAAGCCGAGAAATGGAAATAGCCCCTTAAGTAGAAGAAAGCTCTTTGAAACAACAACATGAAAGGAAATTACACTTAACTTAATTTGTTTAGTTAAGACTTTAAAATACTCCCAGGAGATAAAAAATACTTCCAGTTTCATGTTTCAAGGTGGCTAAACTAAAAAAAAACAAAGTCAAAATTCAATATCATTTCGAAAATGTACGCCTTGTCCTGACAAAAAAAGTAATTATTTTTATTCACGATTAACAGGTTCATGCAATTCCAGCTTTAAGAAGTTGTTCTCTCCAATAACTAAACAGGGGAGGCAATTTAGTAACGTCGAACACTGTCACATTCTTTACAAATGATTTCATAACCATAATGTTACATTCCAGAAGAGCCAGTGGGTATTATTTTCATCTAAGCTGGTTCTGGGGCTGTTGTATAACCCTTGCTTCATGTTTGCAACCTGAAAAATTGCACAGTGAGGCATTGAGGGATCACTGTCAGAAATTTCTAATCCATGAGGGTAATCTTATGATGGGACTTGATAGTGAGCAATAGTGGGCCTTAAGTGGACATGGGTTCTTAAATGTACTTTATGTACATATATGTCCAGGTTCCACAACTTCTACAAGGTAATAGAGCGCGGCGAGGCAAAACAAGGGATGTTGATCATATACCTGCCAACACCGGACTTCAGATCGGCTTCTCTAAATGCCAAATTGGATGTGAAAACTTCTATTTCTTCTGCATGAGTGAACATATACCCCAGTCCACATTAGGCATGCTGAAAGCTGAAAACACTGTTGAGACAATATTATATATCAAACCAGTTTGGATATAACAGCCAGGAGACAGTTCTTGAGGGGACAGAATAATTATTTGAAAGTCATATTAGTGAAAATGTCGTCTGTTATAAGAAATTTAACATAAAAATAGCATAATTTATTCACACAAAAGCACCTAACAGACAGAACTGATGGTATGCTACATTGTTTACATTAAATAAGGGGGGTTGTGACATTCTGCTGTCAGCCTCTGAGGCCTCAGCAAACCTTCATACCAAGGAAGGGTAGCCAGATGGGGGTTAAGAAACTTAATTTAACTTACTCCAGGTGCATGTTGACTTGAGAACCTAGTTGCACCAGACAAAATAAAGTTGTGCTCTTGTCCCATAACTTTATCAAAGATGAAACATTGATGAATATACTGAATAAGTTCTTCTCAGATGACCCGTGAAGATCTGGGGTAGAATAGATCTTCAGCAACCCATGCTTGCCGTAAAAGGTGACTATGCTTGTCGTAAAAGGCGACTAACAGATCGGGTGGTCAGGCTCGGTGACTTGGCCCGTGCATGTAATCGATCCCAATTGCGTGGATCAATGTTCATGATGTCAATCACTGGATTGTCTTGTCCAGACTCGATTATTTACAGACTGCCGTCATATAGATGGAATATTGCTGAGTGCGGCGTAAAACAACAAACCAAACCAAATCTGATGATATAATATATTTACATAAATATTGCTGTAAATCATAATTGGATGTGCACATAATCATGAAGTTTCCACAGTTTGAGTATGTCAAGCCCAAGAAATAACAAACAATAACCTAGTGTCCAAAGATTTGTGTTGCATGGAAAAGTAAGTGACAGTCAGACACAACTGATCACTTAGGTTTGTTTCTGGTGTTTCATATAGGTGTCACGTATCATTGGTCAGCTGAGATAGCACACTTGGCTGTTTTTTTCACAGTCCACAGTTCACAGTTCTTGAAATAAATCCATTGAGTTATATAACAATGAGCAATCAGTCAACGTATTATAAGCTAATCATTTGTTGTTTTTACATAGGCACTTCATGTCCATATATGGGTGTTCCTTCTGATTTAGTAAACTTACACATGTAAACAATTAGTTTTAACAAATTCACTTTGCAAAATAACAATTATTAATCAATCAACATTGGCTATTCAGTCATCTATTGAAGTTTTTGTGAACTAAAACCATCAAGGGGAATTTCCATACAACAACATCTTATGGGCCACCACCATTCTTTTTGTGGGTTGGTTTATTAACATTAACATTCTGTCAACTTCAGTGTATGCATGATCAGATTGTTTATTGCGTGTATCTTAGACGTTTTTGACAGGACTCTGGTAAAACAATTCCCAATTGGAAATTTTGCACCAAACTCTTGAGACCTGCAGCTGGTACCTCGGTTCCTACGTTGTGGAATAACGTTGTCATAGAGATACGCAATTACGTTCTGGAAATTTTAGTATTAAGAGATGAAAATTCAAATGCCGAATATATAGAAAGGTAATACAATACTGCCTTGGTTTTATGACAAATTCATTAATTTTGATTTTCTATTCCTTTATGACTATCGAGAATCAAACTCTATAACGTTTCACCGACGTTTCAGAAATGTAGTTACAAAACGTTGTGTGATGTCCGATGCACAACGTTTTCACAACGTGAATGTGCAACGTTGTTATAACGTTGTGAAACAACGTTGCACGTTGACGTTATAATAACGTTGTGACAACGTAATATCACGACGTTACCAATCCACAACCTTTCTACAACGTTGTGACAACGTCGTGTGTTAGCTGGGAATCTGCTTGAGATAGTTCTGGATCCAATGATAGTGGTGCTGGCAACAGGGTCACCATCCTTGGATACATCTTTAAATAAGTAAGTATCATACATGCTTCGTATTTCATCATGTGTCGGATGTCTTTAGATTAGTTTATGATAGGTCGGTTGGTTTGGTTGGTTTGTTGATTTACGCCGCACTCAGCAATATTCCAGCCATAAGGCGACGTTCTGTAATTAATCAAGTCTGTCCAAGAAAATCCAGTGATTGATATCATGCGCATAGATCCACGCAATTGGGATCGATGACATGCACCCACCAAGTCAGCGAGGCTGACCACCCAATCCCGTTAGTCGCCTTTTACGGCACGTATGGGTTGCTGACGACCTATTCTAACCCAGATCTCTACGGGTCTTATGATAGGTCCAGCTTTGGCTTCACTATCTACCATGGTGGAGAAGAGAAGTAGGGGCTACATGTATGTTTTAAAGATTGATTTGAGCAGCAGAAACATCAGATTGTATTCTGATTCCAAGTGGTGGAATAAGAGATTATTTTTATTTTCGCGATTTTTGTAAAGAGGATTGAAAACACAGCCACAGGTTGTAAGGCAAAGCCTCAGGCTTTGGGGATGAAGTACCAAACTAGATGATTATTTATTATGCATTCCATGGTTTTGCAAATGCAGCTTGTCATTTATATTGGTTGATAATCTGAAGGGTCTCTCGCCTAGGTTTGGGTATGGGATTACTACAGCTCCTGTAGTAGCATCACAATCTTGTCCAAGGGCAGTATGGAGATCATGAATAGAGAATAGTCCATTATAATCTTCCCCGTTATCTGATTTGCAAGTAATAATGTTCTTTTCTTGCTGTCTTTGATATTTTTGGAATTTTTGGTCATAGTTAGTTGAGGATGAATGTTTAGCCAAAGTTTGTTTACATTATCATATTTATCAGTTAGTAGTACATTCCCATTTTGGAGATGGTGGATTTGGAACCCTTACCTTTAACTTTCTGAATCATGTTCCATACTTCAGACATTTGCATACGTGAATTTATTTTTGAGACATGTTTATTTTGCTTAAAAGTATGTCATTCTTCAGCATTTAATTTTTTTTTATTTAAATTATGTACCACAGGATGGTGACGAAAATAGAATTATGTGTGGATTTGCAGAGGACTGTGTACATCAGCAATTTTGTTCATCAGAGAAGTTTGGGATAGGATCAGGAGCGTTGATAAACAAATCAGGTGTAAATTTGTAGGAGGACGGTAATTAAAACAAAGGCTAGTTTGCTTTCTTAAAGTTCCATCGTGATGATGGCTGAACATCAGTAGGGGGAACAACTTTCAGGATGGGTGAAAAGGGGTCACTTCCACTGAGGTCATCATGGACAGGCCACTCAAACTCATTTAACAGATCAGAGTCTGTAATGGACAAATCAAGGGAAGAGTATGTACCTGAACCAGGACATAAATATGTTTTAGAGTTATCATTCAAAAGGAATAAAGCATTGTTGGAAATATACTCTTCTTGACTCTTCCCTTCAGGGCTGATATAACCACTACCCCACTAATGTTATACGGATAGCAGTGGCTTGGAGAGGAGTAGCGAGAGTTACAGGACTGTGGAGGATATCTTACCTCGCCTACACTGAAGAACCTCCAGTGGCCTTTATCCATGCTGTTTCTGTATTCTTAAAACATGTCTTTAAAATAATAAAAAAATATTTTACTATGGGCCTTGATGCCTAAATTACTGAATAAACTGTCTGTCTGTCTTAAAAGAAATGATATGAATTATTCTGCCTAATGTCGAGTTGATCGGTATGTGTCATGTAGGTTTCTTGAAGACATAAAGCTGATGGTTTAAAATCTTCTAAAAGAGCTGGAGATCATCATAATTATGTCGGGGTCCTCAGCAATTCCATAGAATGAGTTGACTTGAGCAGCTCATGGCGGCTCAACTGGGGATCTTGAGCAGGAGGTACGTCCACTCCCATGGACTGGCTGTGTGAGAGTGACGTCCATGTCCAGGGGCTCAATCGGATTATAAACCTCAACAGAAGTTGTAACAGGAGAAGGTACCTCCAAGTGTTGGAGTGTTCTGGCTTGTCTCCCCATTTGCTTTTTAGCTTTTTTTTCAATAAATGGGCTTTGCCCTGAATTTTTTCTCTTTTGGTTACCTGGATCTGGAGTGGTGATTTGATCAGAAGGTTGTGATTGTTTTCAGATCGGGTGGCAGATGTCGATATGGTTGGATAGTTTTTAGATGCCTGAATGATGTCATCAATGGTAAGTTGGCCATCCTTCAACCAAGTGAGTGAGTATGGTTTTACGCCGCTTTTAGCAATATTCCAGCAATATCACGGCGGGGGACACCAGAAATGGGCTTCACACATTGTACCCATGTCGGGAATCGAACCCGGGTCTTCGGCGTGACGAGCGAACGCTTTAACCACTGGGCTACCCGACCGCCCCCCTTCAACCAAGAGATAGAAGTCTGGCAGTGTATGGAGACTGTAGTTACTTTGGTACATGGAACCGGAGAAGAAGAGAACGCAGCTGAAAAGCTTTTAGAAGAAGGTGTTTGGGGAGGAATTAATCACTTTTTAGCTTCAGTGTATGGAATGTTATGGTACGCCTGAGTTTTAATATTTTTGTTACAAGACCAAAAGCAGGACATTGAATTGATGAGGACATCTTCTCTCCGTTGCACTTCTCATTTCCACAGTCTCAACGGAAACATCTTGCCTTGTTTGTGCAAGTTTTGATGACATGACAGAATTTTTGACGCTTGTAATATCGGAGTGGATTTGGAACATAGACCTCAACTTCGATGTTAAAGTAACCTGCTTTTATGGACTTTGGAAGGGTTACAAGAGAAAAAGTGAAAAGTGTTTTTTTGTTTCTTGTTTAACACCGCACTCAGCAATATTCCAGCTATATGACGGCAGTTTATAAATAATCGAGTCTGGACCAGACAAACCTGTGACTGACATCATGAGCATCGATCCACGCAATTTGGATACAATGACATGCATCAACCAAGTCAGGGAGCCTGACACCCGTTAGTCCCCTATAACGACAAGCATAGTCGGCTTTAAGGGCAAGCATGGGTTGCTGAAGACCTTTTCTACCCCGGATCTTCACGAGTTGAAAAGATAAGTTTGGATATTGATAATCTTGTGTTTTTGTGGTAAAATGTTTAAGTGCGGTGACACCTTGAGATTTTAATTCAGTTGCTATCTCTTCTTCTGTCATGTATGGCAGACAGAGAGCTCGATCACGAATGTTCCCCTACTGGAGTTCAGTGTCTTGTGCACTGAGACAACAACCCGTGTATTGACAAACCGCTGAAGGCCCAACATTTAATATGATGGGTTGCTGTCTCCATGCACATTCCACAATGATTGGACCACCACAGAGACGTGTGACATTCTTAACCTCACCACAGGCACCCTTACCCTTGGAGATCGCAGACGGGTTAAGTTTGAAAGAAGTATAACCTAGATTTGAAATAACTAAGAATCTTGGCCAATATCTTTTCATTATTGGAGGTAATTTCGCATCAGATAACAAAAAATGGTCCCTTCTTTTATTACTTTTTGTTGAACCAGTGGGTGTGTTGTTAACCATGATATGAGAATATTATTCAGCATTCCTGCCCCCTATCCACTATCGAGTGCCAACGAGGCGATGTTGCAATGGAAGACAGCCTTTGTTCTCATCACAATTTGAAAATAAAAACACAAACAATCTTCCGGACAAACATGTATTTTTCTCATTTTCTTCCAGTATACATTCAGCAGAACATTAAAAGTGCGTTATTTTAATATTGCCCGAAGAGAGACATAACTAAACATGAATATGCACAATAACATGCTATAGTTTGTTGAACATGTACACTAAGGTGCATTAAGTTGCACTTCATTTTCATTTGTTATCGGATCGTGATACAAAGTTGTCCCTCAGTCTGAACTCAACAACCGGACAATGACAAAGTTTATAACCAAATATCTGATGAAAGTGTCTGATAACTGCAATTCTACCATGAATTTGGAAAATATTGGAATCTGAATGGTCAATCAGAGGCTAATCACAATAAACCCCCTCTGATTGAAACAGATGGTTTGACGGCTGCATCACCGCGGAAGTTAATATTCAATTATAATGGTACTTTTTTCAGTCATTGTCGGTAGGCATATCTAAATAATAATATCTACAAATACAGGTTACAAAATGCAAAGTTGCGGTTACTACAATATTCAAAGTATGTTCGACAATACATTTTGTGCAGAAAACACAATAGAACTCTTCAGAGAGTATATATATATATTAAGTTTTGGGGACAACAGAGTGCTTGGAATATCTCTACATACGACTGTGACGTCATAGCGTTGGCGTCACATTGAGCAATATGACGTCATAATGATAAGGTGCGGTGTAGAACGAAAGCTTTGCAAGGCTTGCTTAGTTTTCTTATGGCGTGCCCACCTCATGTTAACCTACAAGTTGCCGTGATACATGCTTTCAACACCTGTCATATGATCGAGTGACCTATTACGGTATAAACAAACTGCTTGAGCATATACAGCTTCATGTTTTTTTCACATGCTGTTGTCAGTGGTCCGGTAATTAAGATCGACAACCCCCACAAAACACTGTATTCAACCCATGCAAGGTCATTCAATATATTTGCTAGCTCCAAAGAGTTCACGTTTTTTTTTAGTCATGGTAGAATGGAGATAATTGATTGCGCTACATTTAACATTTGAAACCTCATGCTGCCCGTTCGTTCCAAATTCAATTTAGCGCGGTTACATTTACAGGTGACCTACCTTTACATTGAAAACACATTATGTTTATCTCCCAATTGTTCTTTATTATCGGTCATTCACATGTCTGATATGTCCATTTATTATGATAAATATCCTGCACCTATTCACAACCACAGCTTCTTTTAGGAAGTGACGTCAACATCTCCGCAACAACATTTCTCGCTCATGATAGTAATTGGATGCGATGGCAATTTCTAAATCAAACATGTAAGTCATGGTTTAAGAAATGATATGATTGACATATTGCCGATGTGACTTTGATTTTAACTCATTTACTCAATGAATCTCAGAACGAAGCCTGTTAACTCGGCAAGTGATGCAGGTCTCGGACGTTTACCACTTCGGTGAAACCCAAGAGTACGAGTATGGTGCTGACAAACCTAGAAACATAATCGGGGGGAACCGGGATTCGAACCCACCATCATTGGTTTCTGACCTGCCCACGGGACGCAACTTTGCACAGCGCGGCACCTTAGACGACTGGACCATTCATGTCCCTGAAATAATAGCAAACTGGAACCTTATCAGCTTCATCTAAAGAGAGTGCCCTGATTGCAAGAGCATGGCTTTCTGAATCGTCCGTCTGTTCCCTACCAAGAACGGGTTCCTCAAAAGTTCTCTACCTGGAAAATTTCGACAGGTCAAAAGTATGATCCATTAAAAGTGATCATATCTGGAATCATTCTCAGAAGAACTTTGCTCAATCATAGCACGAGTGACAACACATGAAGGGATTTTTTTCAAGATTTGCAGTACGTTGCAGTTCTAGGCTCAAGACAAACAAAACCAAAGATCATCCTCCCTGAAAAATAATTCCCAATCAGCAAGTCTACACCTTTAACAGGTAGAGTTTCCCCAACCCCAACCAACACAGAGACCACAACTGTCTTCAAATCCACAATTTAGGGAGGTGCACAAGTAAAACCACATAAACGCTCGCACCAAACCTCACAGTTCACTGATGACGCTTTCCTTGGTGACACCAAACCTCACAGTTCACTGATGACGCTTTCCTTGGTGACACCAAACCTCACAGTTCACTGATGACGCTTTCCTTGGTGAGGAGCTCTGGCCTTTAGCTGACACAAAACCTTTATTAACGAAATGTAAATACTCCTCTCTCACAGAACAGACTCTGATGACTGGTCTACAACAGCTAACTCCTCATCAGCCAAAAGAAAGAAAGGGCTGTGACTTGACATGCACATAAACATTCGTCGAAGAATTAAAGTGAGTTGACTACACTCAGAGGTTATATGCCCTGAATTGCAAAAAATATGTAGAAGTAGACTCTGATGAAAACCCAGAAGTATTTGTAGAACCAACTGGATAGAGCGTGACTTTTTGTCAATAAACTCAGAATTTGTTAGAGCTATATCTAGGAGGAGATGAACTATCATTTCCTGATTTGTAACCCTGTGAACTCCAGCCCGTGTACCCTGACTGCTTTAAACTAACCCTGTGAGTTAGCAAATAGTCATCATCCCACGTAACAGCTTTGCGTAACTGATCCACCTTCTGCTCATCGACATGTGTCCGAATGCCCGTTGACAGACACTGCTTAAACTCCTCCTGCAAAACCAGCTGCCTCAAACTATCAAAATCAACATTAACTTCCTCTCCTACTCCCTTGTAAAATCGGCCCGTGAAAATCCAGTGTAGAATTGGTCTTTAGCAACCCATTCTTGCCGTAAAAGGCGACTGTCCTTGTCGCAGACTCGATGACTTGGTGGATGCATGTCATCGATCTCAATGGCTTTGATCAATGCTCATAATATTAATCACTGGATTGTCTGGTCAATAATTGTAAATTCAACAAAAGTAGAACCATCCCTACACTTTTGCCTGTTAGCTTCAGGAACGAATTGATAAGCTTTACAAACTCCAGCTTTTACAACCTGATATTAAGAACTCCTATCAATAGTTAAGGCAGAATAATCTTTCTGAGCTTTTCACCTTAACACACTTTGTAAAAACATGGTCCCCTGAGTTTGAGGCCATTTCAAGCTGTTAGCCATCCTTTCAAAATGTGAGAAAAACTTCTCAACATCACGTCCAGAGAAGGGCGGAACAAGTCTAATCTGCTTGGAAAGATCAAACAATTCATCTCCCTTTGAGGTACAGTGAGAGGGATCATTCTGTAAATCATTTTGCTTTATAAGCTTCAATGTCGAATTGCTTAACCCGAAATTCCCTCTATTCTTTTTCCTTCTTTCACTTTTTCTACTCCCTTTTTGCTAAGCCGAATTTCTTTTTACAAAGCCAATGTTCCTCCTTTCAATTTCTAATTTCTTCAAAGCTAAAACATCAGTTTGTTTCTTCAAGCAAGGCCAAACCATCATCCAAATGTCTTCCTCAACCAGGTAAGTTATAAAGTACATACCCAATTTGATGTCAAGTTTGCCGTAAGAGGCGCCTATGCTTGTCGTAAGAGGCGACTAACGGGATCCAGTGGTCAGGCTCGCTGACTTGGTTGATGCATGTCATCGATCCCAATTCCGTGATCATTATTAATCACTGGATTGTCTTGTCCAGACTCGATTGTTTAGAAACCACCGTTATATAGCTGGACTATTGCTGAGTGCAGCGATAAACAACCAGCCAACCAACCAACCAGCCAACCAACCAACCGGCCAACCAGCCAACCAACCAATTAAGACTTTTCTAGCATAGAAACTTGTTCCGCTGACGGCTGGCTAAAATAAATCCTCCACACTTAACACTATAGTGATTCTTGACATCACACTCTATCAGACAATAAAATGTTTATCCAATAATTTTGACAAATAATTAGTGATAGATAAAATGTCTCCCCCGTCGAGCTCCCAATTTCTGTCTCTCAATTTGATACATTATATCAACCCAGAAATCTGTGCGCAAATGAACTGTAGAAGTGGTATACACGCAATAAATGTAATACGATATTCACAAAGTTTACACACATCAATACAAATTTCTACGCAGCAATTGCAATGGCAGGAAAAAATATCGCTTGTTTGTTTGCTTCTTGTTTAACGCCGCATTCAGCAATATTCCAGCTTGTCCCACTATATATATATATATACATGTGCTACTAAAACAAATTCGTCAGTCTAGCGGTACTTGAACATTACAAACTATTCTGCATCAGTCCACGGCCTACCGTATGCCACACTAGCTTTGATATAGAGTAACTTCCTGACGACTGCTTACATTAAACACCACCACATTCCTGATGACTAATCACTGTCCACAAACAATGCAATGAGCGTCTTCCGATTCTCAACAGAAACAATGTAACACAATTACAATCATTGTTCAAATCAGTGTGATTGGTAAACATCCCTTTATATTGGGCATTAGCAGCCAAGACCAGTATGATCAACAGGTGTAGTCCATATCAACAGGTACACCAACCTACCATCGACACTGACAGATGAACATGGTTGGTCGACCATGTTGTTTCGATGAAGACGAAAACAAGGAAAGTCTGCTCCTCTGGGCTCGCCTTGCATATGAATTGGAATTTCTGCACGGATTGGCCTTGTCAAAGCAAGGTAATTAGGCGAATTAGTTTAGCTTCAGGTATATGGATTATCAGATATCGTTCAAGAACGGTGAAATAGCCAAGTCCTTTCCAACGAATTGCCCATCTGAACTAGACCTAAGAGACAAGTGAAGATCCGGTGAAGAATAGGTCTTCAGCAATCCATGCTTGCCGTAAAAGGCGACTAATGGGATCGGGTGTTCAGGTTCGTTGAATTGGTTGATGCATGTCATCGAATCCCATTTGCAATTGAATGGCAAAACGTTCTCCACAAGGCTGTATGATAAAAGGGATGCCTTCAACTTTCCAATAGTCAACTGTTTCTTTATGTCGAGTAATATTCCAGCAGCTCCAGCCTTTGGTGTCTGCATTTCACAACTTCTGAGGTAAAATAGAGCATCAGACAAAATCATGCTAACCTTTGCTCAAGTGTTGTTTGGTCAAGATTGCAACATTCAAGGCATCAACAAAGCTTTAAAAGTGCTTAATGGGAGACATGTGGAGGACATTTCCAAATTTGACAAACATGATGTCCCATGCAATGCCCTGTTTACAATTGTACAATACACGGTGGCGTTTATTATCACTTTTTGATAGCAATTAACAAATACATGCTTATGATAAAGTCGGAATCACTTGCGTTTTAGCTTTCTTATGCTTATGGACATTTTTTATTGACTCACAGAGTGTTTATTATAACCAACATCATTTAGAAAGATGAACTCGTATAACTGTGCATCAATCTGCATATATTTGGTATGATGTTTCTTCAAAATTGCAGTAAACGTTGTTCACTGCACAGCTACCACTTTCATCCTTATTGTCTAGAATTACATTTTCCTTGTCGGCAGCAGCTATTATGACATGTGAAAGGATATATTTCACAATATTTATATTTTTGGATTCACAGGCAAGATATAGGATGGTGTTGCCATCTGTATCAGCGGATGACAGATTTGCTCCTTTCGTCACCAGGAAGTCAAACACGTCTCTCTTCCCGATCCATGCCGCCATCATTACAGCCGTCTTTCCGTTGTTTCCTCTGCTGTTAATGTCTACAATATTCTGTGCGAGAATATACTCGACTATCTCCAACTTTCCACCCGCCGAGGCATAATGAAGAATGTTTTCGCCATTGTCTTCCACTAATGTCAGATCCGCCCCCTTCTTCACAAGCAAATCAAATGCTTCTTTATTTTGATTTACTGCTGCAATCATTAGTGGAGTCTTCCCATACACTGATCTTGAATTGATGTCATCTACAATATTCTGTGAAAGAATATACTTCACTATTTCCACGTTTGATCCACGACAGGCCAGATGAAGAATGTTCTCCTGATGTGCAGTAACGCTTCTTAGATCAGCACCTTTACTTACTATCAAGTCAAACACCTCTCCAAGTCCCTGTAGTGCTGCCAGCATAACAGGTGTGTTTGTGATCAAATACTTCGTTATTTTAGTTTGTTTGCTTGAGCAGGCCACGTGAAGGACGTTGCGATGCTCATAATTCCTTTGTGTCAGATTAGCGCCTTCTCTCACAAGCAAATACAATATGTCTCTATGTCCCCCATATATTGCCATCATTGCTGGTGTCCAGCCGTCATCGTCTTTGCGGTTGATATCCAAAATTTTTTGTTTGAGGACATACTTCACTATATCCACATTTCCGCCATAACACGCCAAATGAAGAATCTTGTCATCGTCTTCACTCACATGAGTCATATCTGCTCCTTCACTAATAAGTAAGTCAAACATTTCTTTATGTCCCAAACTTGCTGCCACCATTGCTGGTGTCAATTCTTCATCGTTTTTGCTGTTGATGTCTACAATATTTTGTTTGAGGACATACTTTACTATATCCACATTTCCTCCTTCACACGCCATAAGAAGGATATTGTTGTTTTCTTCCTTCATAGTCAGATTAGCTCCTTTCTTCACAAGTAAATCGAATATGTCTCTGTGACCCCTCCTTGCTGCTATCACTGCTGCTGCATTGTCATCCATGCCGTTGCTGCTCATTGCATCAATGTTCTGTTCGAGAGCATATTTCACTATCTCAATATTTCCCCCTTTACATGCCATGGGAAGGATTGTCTCATAATCAGCATGCTTTATTGACAGGTCAGCGCCTTTTTGCACTAAGAAATTAAACACGGCTAGTTTCCCGTTAAGTGCTGCAAGCATGACAGGTGTCAGCCCGCAGTGTTTCCTGTTAATGTCCACATTGTTCTGTTTCAATACATATTCTACTATCTCAGTATTTCCTCCCCGAATGGCCAGATCCACAAAAGTAGATCCCTTATCATCAAATAGTGTTAGATCAGCACCTTTCTTTACCAGCAAGTTGAAAACGTCTCCATGTCCCTTAAACACTGCTAACATGGCTGCCGTCGACCCGTCCCGTCTTCTACTGTTGATGTCTGTCACGTTCTGTTCGAGGACATACTTCACTATTGGAACATTTCCCCCTTCACATGCCACATGAAGGATGCTCATCTCAGCTCTACTCATGATTGACATACTGGCTCCTTGCCCCACGAGAAAGTCAAACACTTGTCTATGAGCATTCTGTGCTGCAAGCATCAGTGGTATCATTCCGTTCTGTCCTCTTGTGTTGATGTCTGCATGACCCTCAGATAATAAGTATTTGACTCGGCACATGTCTCCATTCTTGCAGGCATCGAGGAGATCAGTGTTTGACTGACTTTGGTATTGTGTGTGATTCTGTGTTACTGAAAGAAGACATCAATATTTATCATGCAAACCTGGCTTCCACAGTAGATTGGGTGAGATCTACATTGAAATAGCATTAGAATGCTTTGTAGATCATTGTGACGTCATTGTTACAATGAAGGCACAATCAAATGACATCACAAATGAAGCTGTAAGCAGAACTTTTAACACTTAAGCCACTGCTTATTACCGTCTACAAACTAAAGAAGTGGGACGAATGATGTTGGATGATAAATACGCATAGGAGTTTTTCCTCTTTTATCACCTCGTGATTGATATATTTGATATCAAAAGACACTCGGGTGATACTCTCTATTAGTCATCAGAAACATACATTGAAGATTCTGTATTAATCTTCATCTTATTTTGTTTAGTATGTGTAAAGTTACACACATATATCAATGTGTGTTCTGTTCAGTGCTACTTTTCAATTGCAATGGAATTTCAGTAGCATATAATGCAACCCATTTCGTAATGTTGGGATTGATATTATGAGCAAGGACCGACGCAATCACTGGAAGATAACACAATATCAACTACGTCACCGGATTGATGACCCAGTCTATGTAGTCGTTTTGGAATAGATACCACTGGTGACCAATCATCACCAAGGGGCCTGTGATGATCCGGGGTAGAATAGATCTTCAGCAACCCATGCTTGCTGTAAAAGGTGACTATGCTTGTCGTAAAAGGCGACTAACAGGATCGGGTGGTCAGGCTCGGTGACTTGGTTGATGCATGTCATCGATCCCAATTGCGTGGATCGATGTTCATGATGTCAATCACTGGATTGTCTTGTCCAGTCTCGATTATTTGCAGACCGCCGTCAATAGCTGGAATATTGCTGAGTGCGGCGTTAAACAACAAACCAAACCAAACCAAATCATTACCAAGGACCCGGTAACAGTATCAGTTTGAGACGTTTAGGCGTAATAGCCCAACTAGTCAAGAGAACATAAAATGAAATTGCACACACAGTTTCTGTGAGCATGACTGACAGATTTCTTATGATTATGAAAATGGTTTTGTTCATTATATTTATGAACAAAATCACATGTCAACTTCACTCTACTCCGCTAAAGGATAGCAGAGGGAGGCCTAAGTAATAAATATAAAATTATTTGACACTTATTTCGTAGTTCATGATGTCAGAAGGATGTGGCAAATGTACTGGTACAGAAATGAATGCACGACCTATTATAAGTATACAGGTGCTGTAGAACATAGACTATATATACAAATACATTCTACATTACTGTTGTTATCCCATGTTGATGTGTCATGGACTAGTTACATTAAGGTTACTATGTAATGGGGATGTATGTCAGTGACATTTCTGTTGCTAAGCTCTAAAGGCCAGCCTAGTTCTGTAATAATCATCTACAGAGACTAAACAGCAGGGACGTAAGCTAGGCCCAGATGAATGCCTTTACCTTCGTGATCCTCGGGTTGGGTTACCCAGGCCCCAAGTGGTGGAACATCCTGTTCACATGTCACTTCACTCGATGCTGAAACCAAATTTAATATGGGATCAGGATGCGTTACTTTTCGTTTATTATATAAAAATATCACTTTGACATCAAAGGAAAAAACAACTTAGAATAAAAAACTAGAAACCCAAATGGATACTTTGTTTTATGATTTTGGTCCAATAACCGAGCTATTGGTTGCAAATAATACTCATTTTGTGCGTGTTCCTAATCAGGATCCTGTAGCATATCCTCTTGTTTGACATACTCTTACTTGGCTCATATTTGGTTTCCATTAGTCAAAATTGTAACACTTCAAGCTGGTTTATTAAATTGTGTCTTGAAGCGACCTCTTGCTAACCCAATGTAGGTTACATCATTGGTATCTGTTGTTCTAGGTATAACAACCACACAAAATCATTCAGAAATATGAAAAAGAGACATAACTCTCCAAACACATCTGGAAGTTAAAAAGAAACAAAACCAATTGCAAAATCAAATGGGACATAATCAAGAATTCAAACACCAACAAAAGAGACTCAGGGATTTGCAATCTATGCATGGAAGAGAAGCTCGAGATTCTCATGCTAACAGCTAACAAGCTAAACAAAAGAAGCGAGCTCATTTCCACCTGTCACCATGGTAAACCCCCAAGCCGAGCCAAAAAGAAAGGGTCAAACTAAAAACCATGTTTCATTATGCCTGATGATCGTACGCAATACTATGGGTGCGTGAAACTCAGAGTTTCAAAATGATATAAGGAAAGTGTATCCTAATCTGTATTTATGCTCTCCTTTTACCGAGCACTCTCTTCTGCAATTGGATCATACTTGTGTGTATGTGTGTGTGTATATATATATATATATATATATATATACCGAACCCGAGTCACATATATTACAAGCACGAATATAATTTGCTGATTTCTTTGACTTGATATCCCAAATAAACAATATGGTGACATATTGGACATGGTAAAATAAAGGAAACTGAATGCTGATATCTCAAATCCCAGTCAACTTTTAATGACTTAATGAGATGTGAGACGTGTTCATAATTCTAAAGGCCAAATTAAACTTATTCTGCGGACATCCTAAAGTGTTGTGTGTTCATTTTCCTTCCTAAGTTCTGTGTTGCGCACTAGGAAGAGTGCAAAGAAGACTGTAATACTAAAATAACTACATATTCAAAATCGATTCGTTAAAATAATTGTCAATAACAAGGAGGCTGATTATTTTACATTTCAACAATTACCTTTGACACAGACAGCTTTTCCACTTCGGGTCTTCAGACATTTCATACCCTTGCAAATCTTCAATGCACAGGGGCCGTCTCGGACCTGTACACGTGAGTGAATGTTGTCATAACAGGGTAATGGCATGTCGTTTCAGTTCTTTAATTTGAAGACCATTTTGGTCTATCGCTTTATTTATAGGCAAAATATATGTATACAAGAAACGCCAAACGTATACAGTCGGTATTAAAAGTCAAAATCGTCGACTAAGTGCCAAAGTATTTGTAATTGTAATGTCATGTGGGAACAGTACACTGCCATGGTTACCGTTAGAGAAAAGCTGTGACCAAATGATGTGCAGGTTCGCAAAAACAATATGTGCACGTGCAACAACAGTAGAAAAGCGCTGTCACGTGTATTATTCCGACTGAAGAATCACGACCACGTGAAGCGCAGAGGGATAACGCCATCGCCCTCTTGGAAGCAGAATAGTCCAGTTCGGTCATCGCCAGGACGTTTTATGTGTCCCTAAGCACCATCACCAGACAGGGAGACCAATACCGACAACGTGGTTCAACCCGCGACCGTCCCAGATCCGGATGCCCTACGGCAACGGACCACCACTGCAACCTCCACAGTGTCTGTGATACCAGGTCGGCGGCTAATGTCGGACTAGACTGCACAACACTCGTGACTGACGAACTGTTCATGGTGTCGTTTTAACACAGCAACATCGCAAACGATGTCAGTGGTGTCAGTTGCACAGATTATGGCCTCAGCGACAAGTATGGTTTAGCGATGAGCCAAGACTTATGTTCCGTCCGCAGGTGAATGATGTCTTGTTTATAGGTGTCGTCATGAACACTTTGTGGTCGTCTACGTACAGCAGGCTGACGGATGATGTGTCAGCCTCATGATGTTCAGGAAAGTAGAAATGCACAACGCTAAGTTGACCAGACACTGAGCCACATGTTGTTCCCCTTATGGCCAATGCCAAAGTTGTATACCAGGACAACAACGCTTAGCTTTACACAGCATCATTAACGGATGCCTCTCGACAGAACATTAACATTGATGTCCTACGATAATCCTCCCGATCGCCGGATTTAAATACAATAGCACATTTATGGAACACGTTGGACAGACCCATGCGATAGCGACAAACACAACCACAGACACTGCCGTAGCTGCTTCTCATTAAGTTATTTAATCTATTGCATAGACGAATTACCCTGTACCCACTGTACTTTAGCAACTGTCATGTCCACCAATTCCTTCTAAATTGTATAACAGCAGACTCCTAATAACTTCCAGCTGAGTTGAAGGCAACAGGGATCACACAATTATTTATTTCCAGTTATGTACAGTTACTTCCCAAAATATGTTTTGCTGTATGCCAGACATAGGACATTGAAGATTGGAATTAAATTTAGACACTAATGATAAAACGTTCCTTTCGTCTTTGCACAATAGTTATAAAACCTCATTTACTGGGCTAGATACATATCCAATCATATGTAACTGAACAGTGACTTTTGAGTGTTGGTGCATGCCAACAATTGCCACGAATATGAATACAGAGTACCCATAAGGCATGGACGTCTTCAATTCAGCTAATTTTACCACCTTGTCATTTGCATGATATTTGATGTGGTTATGCAGAGGTAACTTTATCAAAGCTTTATATGGAACACATGACCTAATTTCTGGACTCGGAATGATATTGCAGGAATATTGCGGCGTAAAACCATGCTCACTCGTTAAACCCGTTAAAAAAAAGAAGTTTATCAATTAATTTTCTAATGGCAAAACGTAACTGTGCTTCATATAAAGTTGTGTGACTGTTATGTAACTGTTATGTAATTGAAAATAGCAACATAATATTATGAACCAAATTTAAAACTTAACAATGCTAATCTTTTTACATTTTGACCAGTTATCATTGTGGGCCCTTATTGTGTATTTAAACAGTAATGGCCATGTATTGTCTTCAGATAACACCCGATTTTGTGCAGGCGAATCGATCAAAATCATGTGCACAGCAGTATAGTGGCAAAAGTGGTTTTTCACGTGCAACTGGTCACTTGGCCATAATACCGCACGTGTTTTCAGCCATACTTGTTAACAGTCATTAACAAAAAAACCCCAAGAAAACACAAGAAAACAAAAGTCTTTACGGCCATTTGTCATGCCATGCCTTTCAAATGTGCAACCTGAACGTGCCATCGGCATGATGCAGACGGGAACGTCCGTAGCTGAAGTCGCAAGGACGATGGGTTGTAGTCGACGGACTGATTATGATTTACAGACGCGTCTACAGCAATCGGGTACCACCGCTGATCGCCCTCTGCCAGGTCGACCACGTGTGACGTCACATGCAGAGGATCGTCAGATTGTCTTTTGTCACCTCCGTAACCGATTTTTGACGGCTACATCAACTAGAAATGAACTGTTTAGGGGTAGACTGAGTGCGCAAACTGTTCGTAACCGTATGAGAACTGCTCACCTTCAAGCACGACGGCCATACTGCTGGCCGATTCTGACTCAATTACACAGACGTCAACGTCAGTTGTGGGCACAGCGACACTTACGATGGACTCAGAGGAATTGGAATCAAGTCGTCTTCAGTGATGAATCCCGATTTAATCTTCGATTTGCTGATGGTAGGGCTAGGGTGTGGAGGCGCCGTCATGAACATTACGCCCAGTGTTGTGTATAGGAAGTTGACAGATATCGAGGCGGAAGTGTCAGGGTGGGGGGTGCTTTCTGTGGCAATGCACGCTCCAGGCTTCTTATCATCCGTGGCAACCTCAACGTTGCTACTTACCGCGACCAGGTACTGGCACCAGAACTTCTGCCTTTTATGGCAGCACATGGACCCGGTTTGATCTTCCAACATGACAATGCCAGACCCCACACAGCAATTTTGACAAGGAATTTCCTTCAGAATGCGGGAGTCAACGTCATGGCCTGGCTTTCAATCCCATCGAACACGTCTCGGATGCTAATGTCGAAGCTAATGGTATACAGATAACAAATAACAAAAATAAAATAACCACCATCAATATATACCACTGGGCAACCAAACAAGTCAAACATTAAGATCTAGACATCTTCATTCAAACAGGAAACAAATCCACAATATTCCTAGGGGACTTCAGTGCACACCACCGAAACTGGGGAGTAGCGGATATACTAGATCAACCCGGAAGAATAATCTAACAATGGATAGAACAAAACGACCCAGTACCACTAAACGACAACCAACCCACCAGATACGATAAAATACACCAAAAAGTGTACAGACCAAGACCTCGACCTAAATTCACATCAGATAATCAAACAACTGCCCCCAGAACTCCTCAAAACATTATTTAAACTTTACAACCTAATCTTCCAAAACGGCCAGGTCCCAACAACATGGAAACAACCTCTGGTCATCCAAAACTGCCAGCTCAAAAAAAATACTTAAAAAAACCCTAACTAAACCTAAGAGACTCCACCCCTCAAAAAATTACACAGGGCCATAACTAAATTACAACCAGGACACACCAAACTAAATAGTCACCTTAAAACAATAAGAGTCCGCGCTACAGGTAGATGCCCACACTGCACTCGACAAGAAACCACAGAACATGTACTCATTCACTGCCCACACTACAAAACACACAGAACAACACTTCAAAACTCACTGAACTCAAACCCCGAATTAACTTTAGGGACAATTTTAAACCAACAAAACAGCACGTCCAACTTTAAAGCCCTAGGCAAATACCTAATCAAAACAGACTTAATCAACTACATT